CCATGGATGGGAAGATCTTCCCTACAAACCAATCTGATAGGCTGAAAGACAAATGGAGTTGGAATCCAGTTCCTTGAAGATCCAGCAAAGTTGTGCAGAGTGAATAAAGCTGGATGCCAGGAATTCTTTGCCAAGACCATTAGAATTAGAATTGAAAAGGAGAGCACAAGAGAGAAAGGTGGCAAAGACAGACCTTTTGCTCTTAGCCAGGACAAAGAAATGAAACATGTTAAATATAATTACAGCAAATTAAAACTGATTTCTTAATAAAAGCCTCCACCTAAATCATAGTCTAAACACAAAATGTGACAGGATCAACTGAATAGGATGTTTATACAACAGGGTGAATAGGACCTCATACAACACAAAGTCATTTGTTATTAGTTAACTTTAATTATAACATAATCGTATCTCCTCTGTCCCGCTTGTGATACTTCCACCAGTAATTGCTCTACAGCAGAATTGCCAGTAATAATTTAAAATGTTTGCATATATTAGGTCACCGTCCTTATTTAAAACACAGCTGGCATGATTCACAATTCACTTACCTTCCAACTTGAAAAGGTGAGAACGTCAATTCTAAGCCAAGGTTGTGTAGCAACAAGCATACTAGAGGGTGAAGCAGACATCACAACATTCCCCAAACCCCACCTCCTGCTTTCCAACTCAGTTGTTCATCTTTCACGTCAACAAAATTATGAACTTCAATTTAAATTGGACACAGCTGGCACTCAACTCCCAACAATGATCATCCAAAACCATCAGCACAGATGGCAAAAATGCAACCAATTGCTTCATCAAAAGTAGATTAAATACTGAATCCATGTCTGTAACTGAGCTGAATATCTAATTCCTAGCTGTGTTAGCACTTCTGAATTGGGTTGGAAAAGTGGTTTCAGTACACCATGGGAACAGTGTTCTGCCAGAGCTTGTGTTCCTCATCAGTATCCAGCGAATTCTGCTACCCTGTGCCCACGGTCACATGCCAGTTGGAGAACAGAATTGGAAGTCGACTATAATTTGTCCCCCATGAACAAACAACCTCCATTGATGGGACACGCACAAAAAATACTTACTTCAGCAAATTGATGTGGTGAATGAACAATCAATGTAGCTCAGTTCAACAACAGCCAATGCCAGAAATAAGTTCAGAATCATGAATCAAGTTAGATTTCTCAATATTCACTTAACCACATTGATACAGCTTTAGTGGGATTTCCACTCAATTGCCGTGTTTCTGATTACAATCCAAAGATTAAACTGGGGGGTGGCAACAAAAGGCTAGATTATGCAGCAAGATAAAATGTTAAGGTCAGCATCAGTGAGAGCAGACAGAAAGCAAGCCATGAACTTGAGATGGTTGGCATCTTGTCAGCTGGTGAAACACCTCCGCTGCCTCTTCCAGAATGTGTCCACTGAATGGAATCACATTGAGAAGTTAGTAAGGTCACTGGTGGGCCTTGCACTTGGGACCAAGACCTTGGTGGAGGATGTCTCACCTGGCAAGGCTTACTGGTCAATCAGATGCCAACCGCTCTTGCACTGGTCCATGCCACTGAAGAGGCTGTATCTGCTGCTGGAAGCAGAATACCCAGGTTCAAGGAGGAACAGACTTTGTATGTTTTGTTGGGGTGTGCAGATGTCACCGAGACGGACTGACGGGGTCAGATGCAAGGGCAGGGAAGTAGCAATCAGCAGAACCTCCCCAACCCCATGTTCTGTCCCTTAGTCAATTACTTAGTACTTTGATCAAGGAAGACAAATCATCTTCGCCTGCTCCTATTTTCTATTAGGGCTAAAGGGATCAAAGGGTATGGGGAAGAACTGGGAATGGGGTACGGAGTTGGATGATCAACCATGATCATATTGAATGATGGAGTAGGCTCAAAGGCTGAATGGCCTACTCCTGCTTCTATTTTCTATGTTTTGATGTCTGCACATTTTGCCGTGTTCAACATACAGGCCACTTAAAGTCAGATTAATCCCAATGGCATTGGGCTGGAGCCCCAAAAATGGTCCTTTGTTGGTCAGTTAAAGACTATCAATTAGGGGAAGGATGGGTCAGTCAACCACAGACCTCCCCATCTGGAACTTCATTCTGAGGGAGGGGAGAAGGCAGCTGGATTTGTTCATCTTTCACTTAAACAAAATTATGAACTTCAATTTAAACTGGACATAGCTTGCATTAAACTCTCAACGACGATCTTCCAAAACCATCAGTACAGATGGCAAAAATGCAACCATTTGTTTTATCAAAGTAGATTAAATAAACTAAATTAAGTGACCTTCCCACTTCCAAATCCACCGCCTCCCCCCCCAAACCTCTTGAGGTGTAAGACATTCCGCTTGGATATTAACAATTCCAGAAATGTTGGTGATAATCTTGATGATCTTTGAAATAACAAGATCTAATAACAGAGGAAACAATGAAAACTATCTGGCCTTTTCAGAAGGGGTGTTGTAACTGTTTTTTTTTTTGCATGACTTAAGAGAGTCACAACCTTGCAGGACAGGAATGGTCCATTTGGCCAATGAAGCCTCTGCTAACTCCTTGAAAGACCTACACAATAGTCCACCTGTCCTGTGTTTTCTCTATAACCCTGAAAATGTTCTTCTCTTCGAATTGACTGGAGGTGGGAGGAGAGCAGCAGCAGTATAGGTTTCCTGTAATAACAAGTACAGTCAGTTCCGATATAACGTGATAGTTCCGTTCTCATGCAACGTTGGATTATAAGAAAGTTGTGCAATAGCCGTGCTATTTAAACTAAAATGGCCAGAATCACACCATAGCCAACACAGGTAAGGAAAGTTCGCCTTCTACAAATAGCGGTCTAAATTTTTCAACCGCGTTAAGGCCAATTTGTGTTGAAGAAACACGCGTTATATTAGAACTGACTGTATGTCTTTACATATTCACGAGTCTAGTGTTATGATATGTTTGGATTGGATAATCACGTGTGTTAGTTTGAATAGGATTGGATAATAGATTCACGTACAGTCATGGATACACAGCATTGAAACAGACTCTTCGGTCCAACTCGTCCATGCAGACCAGATATTCTGAATAAATCTAGTCCCATTTGCCAGCATTTAGCCCATATCCCTCTAAACCCTTCTTATTCACATTCCCATCCAGATGCTTTTTAAATATTGTAATTGTACCAGCCTCCACCACTTCCTCTGGTAGCTCGTTCCATACACACACCACCCTTTGTGTGGAAACAGTGCCCCCAAGGTCCCTTTTAAATCTTTCCCCTCTCACCTTAAACCTATGCCCTATAGCTTTGGGCTCGACGACCCAGAGGAAAGAACCAGTCTATTTACCCTATCCATGCCCCTCATGATTTTATAAACCTCTATAAGATCACACCGAAGCCTCTGAAACTCCAGGGAAAATAACCCCAGCCTATTCAGCCTTTCCCTACAGCTCAAACCTTCCAAACTTGGCAACATCCTTGTAAATCTTTTCTGAACCCTTTCAAGCTTCACAACATCCTTCCTATAGCAGGGAGGCCAGAATTGCATAGTGTTCCAAAAGTGGCCTAACCAATGCCCTGTACAGCTGCACCATGACTTCCCAACTCCTATACTCAATGCACTGACCAATAAAGACCCTACCCTGTCTACCTGCAAATCAACTTTCAAGGAACTATGAACCTGCACTCCAAGGTCTCTTTGTTCAGCAGCACTCCCCAGGACCTTACCATTTAGATGCACAAGTCCTGTCCTGATTTGCCTTTCCAAAATGCAGCACCTCACATTTATCAAAATCAAACTCCATCTGCCATTCCTCAGCCTATTGGCCCATCTGATCAAGGCCCCCTTGTACTCCAGAGATGACCTTCTTCACTGTCCACTACACCTTCAATTTTGGCGTCATCTACAAACTTACTAACCATACCTTCTATGTTCACATCCAGAACCATTTATATAAATGGCAAAGAGCAGTGGACTCAGCACCGATCCTTGTGGCACACCGCTCGTCTCAGGCCTCCAGTCTGACAGTGTATTGGTTTGAATGTGATTGAACAATATAGTTATTTATAAACAACTTGGAGTATGAATTATCCAACCAGGGCCGTATAGTGATAGAGGCGAGTAAATGTGTAAAGTTTTGTTTGGAAATTATTCTTTGCAAGAATAGTCGATTGGAAACTTGTTACCTGTAAAATTGGCATTAAAATCTTTGTTTTCATAAAAAAATTTGAACTGTACACATGTTTTTTGACATGTACATCTCCCATGCATGCATGAATAAACATTTAAAGAAAGAGACCAGAGTCTTGTCTGGTTTAAGACAAAATACAAGAAACACACCCTTTCAAAATATGTATTCATTTCCATTTGTAAAAATGGTTTCCACTACCTCTTCAAATGATGCATTCCAGATCATTGTTACTCACTCCACAAAATAGTTCCCCCATCTCTGACTCTTTTGCCAATTATCTTAAATCTGTGTCCACTGGTTGCTGACCCTTTGTAAATTAGCAATGATTTCTCGATCGTCTCCATGGTTTTGAAGACCTGTATTAAATTTTGCCCAAACTGTCTCAAAGGATAGCAATTATATCTTCTCTGATTGCTACACATAACCAAAGTTCCTATTCCATATATCATTTGGGGAAATTCCCTCTGCACCCCCTCTAAAGTATCAATATCCTCCTGAAAATGCAGTGTATTTTCCTCAGGTACCCTATATATGATAGCCAATTTTATGGTTTTATAACAGGAAGTCTTCCAGATAGCGTTCTTATTGGTAATAAAATGTTATTGCCCAACTGAAGCACTAATCCAAACAAGACCTTTTAATTATACATGATTTGCACATTATTATGACATATACTAGTGGGGTCAAATAGAGCTTTCCATTTTCCCTACATATTCTAACTTGTTTACATTACCAGATTTGTTTTCTATTACAAATGTAAAATCACCAGCATGCTTTAAGAGCTGCATTTTGCACACCCAATGAGAAGTAGCATTTTTTTGAACATTCATACCGTTGGGCTATATTCGATTTGCCTGCTGTCCTGACTGGCATCTTCGCAGTCCTCGTCTCTAGATTTACTTTCCAATACTCCCGGTATTTGCACAACAGTCCGTGAAGCCATCTCCTGTGAAATTAGAATGGTTAGCTGGCGAAAAGGTTATACAGAACAGAGAACAGGCTAAAGAGGGCCTCCCTTAAGATGTTATTATGCAAGATTATGACATCTTGTTAAATTATCCTAAAGGAATTCCTGCCTGTTTTATATCTAAAACAGGACTCAAGGCTTACCCAAGCCCATAAAATGGTTTAGTCCCTCCATGACTCCAGCTACGCTAGACTTCTAATATGATTTTGCTTTTCAATTTAAATGTTTGCCTTGAGCTATTCACTCTCACTCTGCAATTTCCCCCTCCCCCAGACATCAAATTATGTGAAAAGATTACTCAATAAAAGGCACAAGTTTCAAACATTTCCTTCTTATATTAGAAATTTCACAAGGAATTTTACAATCATCCAATGTCACGGTGAATTATATAGGTCTCTAAATCTCTCCATTCAATTACATATTTATCTCAAGTGAATAATCTCTGCCTACATTTTTGATCAAGCTTTCAGCGCAAGGTTTTGTTTGATTTATTCACGCAAAGTGCTTGGAGCATGATACTGCTAAATGAAAAATACAATCCTGCAAAAGCATTTAAAAAACTCAGGAAAATAGCACACTGATTGAAGCAAATTATCAGAGAAGTACAAATTTAAGTCAATAACCAAATAGGTGATATAATGGAAATATTTCCGTTTCAGTAGAAACTGTCTTATATATTATATTAAATCAGATCCACTAGGCACACAGGGTTTATAGTAATTGAGAATTTGATTAGGAACGTCGTCGAAACTAGAAGTAACAAAATTAAAATACAAGTATTACTCAGTTATATCTTTTTATGAATTCGCAGTTGATAATTTTAAAATAAATTTGAAAAATTATTTTGCACTATTTTACCAATCGGGAAAATATTAGAAAAATACACCATGACTATATTTTTTATTACATTTCCTTGACTCAAAAGCACCACAACTGGTGTCAATTCAGCAAAACATTCAAGTATTTCCATTTCTTAAGTGTTCACCACATTCTCAAAAAGGATTTTTACACACATCATTAAAAAAAAACACTTCTTTTGCAAAATGCCACTACTATTTCTACTGGCTGGCTAGAGCAAATCAGACTGGGTAGAAAATGAATACTCTGTTAGCTTAACATCACAGATTAGTAAAGCTAACTGTCAAAATTAGGTAATAAACTATTTGAGCCTGAGTTAGTATTCATTAACAGTGCATTCATCTCTATGTATTTTGGACACATATCTTTGTGTTTGCATTGTAATTATAAAAGAGAATTAGCAGACACACCTCTCCATTAGCATTGAGGAGAACTACCCGTATATCATCTCCTGTTCCCCAGGATTTCTGGCCCCTCCACACCAGGTCAACTGAAGGACACTGGGCAACATCAGAACCTGCAGTCCAAATCTAACACAAAAAGGAAGGCAACAGAAAAATTAAATACTTCAGGACTCACACTAAAAAATTTACACTAGTGCTGCAGTGCATTGTTGCAACTAGCGTAAAATTAATTCTGGCAAAATTCACTGGATTCCCTACAGAGGAGTAAGAGTAGTCAGCACTCATACTGTACTTTGAGATTATCTTCCTACAAAAAAAATTATAATAATACATCAGAAAAAGTATCCACATACCAGGTGGCTTAAAAGTACATTAAGTTAACAGAGCTTAATACATTCAGATCAGTTTGACAAGTTAAAATACCCACTAATGTTCCCTCCACTCTCCTCCAGCAGCCTGTCCTACTTGGCACGCTACTCAGAGTCATAGAGATCTGCAGCACAGAAAAAAAAAAGTCTTTGGCCCATCACGTCCATGCTGGTCAAAAACAACCACCTAAGAATTCTAATCCCATTTTTCAACACTTGGCCCATATCCTTGTATGCCTAGGCATCTCAAGTGGCCAGCTAAATACATCTTAAATATTACAAGGGTTTCTGCCTCTGCCACCCTTTCAGGCAGAAAGATCCAGGTTCGCACTCTCCGGGTGAAAATGTTTTTCCTCGCATCCCCTCTAAACCTTCTGGCCTTTACCTTAAATCTGTGCCCCCTAGTCATTGATCCCTCCATCAAGGGGAAAAGTTTGATACCCTCATCCCATGAATGAATTAAAAAAAATTATACATCTCAATCATGTCCCCTCTCAACTTCCTCTGCTCTAGGGAAAACCACCCCAGTCTGTCCAATCTCTCTTCATTGCAAATATTGTCCAGTGCAGGCAACATCCTGGTAAATCTCCTCTGCACCCTTTCCAGTACTATCACTTCCCTCCTCTAATGTGGTTCCAGAAGCGCATGCAATACGTCAGCTGTGGCCTAACCAATGTTTTACAATTTCCAGCATAATCTCCCTGCTCTTAAACTCTGCCTTGACTAATAAAGGCAAGTATACCACAGACCTTCTTAACCACTTTATGCACTTGCCCTGATGCCTGAAGGGACCAGTGCACACCAAGATCCCTCTGATTACTAGTGCTTCCCAGGGTCCTACCATTATTCATGTATTCCCTTGCCTTGTTTATCCTGCCAAAGTACATCACTATTTACCACTGACCAGTCCATCTATATCCTCCTGTAATCTTTGATTTGATTTAGCTACTGTCACAGGTATCTTGTTATAAAATACAATAAAAAAAAGTGTTGTACAGCATGTTAAAACACAGAAGAATAAACCAAAACAGAACATAGAGGCAGAAAAATGAAGAAATAAAGAAAGTGTCCAATTTTACATTCCTTTTTGTTATGGCTTTCTTCTATTTACAGCCCCAATTTTTGTATCATCTGCGAACTTACTGATCAACTCTCCTACATTCAAGTCTAAATCATTTATATGAACAAGAAACAGCAAGGGCCCCAATACTCACTTTTATAGAGCACTACTGGGCACAGCCCTACACCATCACCCTCTGCTCCTGACATTTAGCCAACTGTGGATCCAATTGGCCAAATGTCCTTGGATCCCATGGGCTCTTACCTTTGATATCAGTCTCCCATATGGGACCTCATCAAAAGCCTTGCTGAAGTCCAAGTAGGCTGCATCAAAAACACTGCCCTCCTCTACACACCTGGTGACCTCTTCAAAAAAAAATTAAATTCAGTTGGTTAGACAATGGCCTCCCCTTAACAAAAACTATGCAGACTGTTCATGATTAATCCCTGCCTTTCCAAACACAAATTAATTCTGTTCCTGAGAATCACTTCCAATAGTTTCCCCACCATAGAGGTAAAGCCGACCAGCCTGCAGTTTCCTGGGTTATCCCTTCTCCCAGTACCACATTGTCCGTCCTCCAGTCCTCTGGCACCTCTCCTGTGGTCAGAAAGGAATCGAAAATTATTACCTGCACGTCTGCCGCACTCAATAGCCTGGGATACATTTTAGAGATTTATCTGGAGACATATCTATGGTTAAGCCTGCTGGTCCACTCAGAACCTCCTCTATGCTAATTTCTTTAATTATATCACAGATTTTCTCCCTGATTTCTATACTCATATTATTCCTTTCATTAATGAACACCAACACAAAAATCCATTTAGAACCCTATATATATCCTCTAGCTCCATGCCTAAACTATCACTGTGGTCCTTACCAGGCCCTACTTTTTCGTAAGTTATAATTTCAATTTAGGATTTTACTTTAGATTACCTGCTCGTCCTTTCATAACCCCTTTTAGCTCTCCTAATCTCGGTTTGAAATTTCCTCTTACACGTTCTCTCCGGTTTCTGCCGTATCATAGCACGGCTTACTAAGTGCACCCATATCTGGGAGTAACTGGCCTTTGCAGAAACTTTGATGTCAGAATAAAAGTCCTTCGACCTCCCGCCACGCTAGTCCCTGTAGCTATCTGCAACATGAAGTAGCTAGGAAAAATATCAAGTGCTTGTAGAATCGTCGACCAAAATAAATCAACCGGTCACAAGCATGTAGGTAGCATGTAATAATCCCTTTAAATAGCAACGGAGGAGCTCTCATTCTGCTGCTGAATGTGTGTTCAAATGAATGAAGTTATTAGGACAGCACAGAACTCCAAAACAATCATCTATTTGATAAAAAGGAATCAGCATGCTTCAGACACTATAGACTTGCCCTTTATATGGACTTGACAAACATTCACTGTACAATCCTTCGTGACTGCAATGGACATGTAGGGGCAACATTTTGAGTCTCGAAGACCCACAATTCAGCCAAAATACGTGCGATAACATGCCAGATTTCTCTGACTTTGATGATTAACCTTTTGGAAAGGATAGCAGGTTTTGATCAAATGCCCACGCATTACAACCTACTTTCCAGATGCTACAAACACTGTTCATATTGAACGCTTACTGAAGCAAAAAAAACACCAGGAAACAGATAGATGGAAATGCTTACAAGATTAACTCAGCCAAGTTCAGATGGTGGTTGGAAACACAAGCAATTTAGATCAGTTATTGTGATACCTATATTAATCAGAACACTCTGAACAGAGTTTCCATGCAGACAAACAAGTAATTGTTCTCAAATTTCCATGAAGTATGTTGTATAAAGCTTAAAAAAAAATTAGAGGACATTATTTAGCACTATGCAATGAAAGATGGGAAATTAGCCTTAAATACAAGCAATGAAATTATACTGAAATGCTGTGTATGAAAGAATAAATCTCATTTTCTAGTGGCAGTAACTTTCTTTTACCTGGATATTTTATATGGAAAGTACTAAAGCTCTAGGTAAATACTTACAGTTACAGCTTGCTTCGGTTTAAGTGTAAAACGTGCAGGAAATTTGTACGTAAATTGGGTCAAATCCTGAAACTGTCTCCTTATTGCCCATCCACTTAATGGCTGATCCTATAAAGAATGTTGACAAATATTTCATACTTGAAAAATTGAGAATACAAAGCAACAATTTGTTCAAAATTGACTTTTTGCAAGATATTTTCTAAAATGTATGTTTCATTAAAAATAGTCATTTTGTCCATTTTTCATAGAATAGCATCATAGAATCCTTACAACGTGTAAGCAGGCCATTTGGCCCATTGAGTCCACACCAACCCTCCGAACAGCACCCCACCCCACCCACCCTATCCCAGTGACCCTGCATTTCACATGGCCAATCCACCCAACCTACACATCTTTGGACTGTGGGAGTGTAAGTGTCTGAGGAGAGATTGACTGTCCCCGTATTCTATTGAGTTGAGAAGAATGAGAAGGATCTCACAGAAACTTATAATATTAAAAAGGGATAGACGGGGTAGATGTTGATGAGTAACTAGAGTACAGTCTTTGAATAAAAGGGAAGCCTTTTAGAACTGTAATGAGTAGGAAATACTTCTAGAATGTGGAAGCAGGCTCAAAAGGGCTGAATCGATTATGCCAGCTCCTAGGTTCCTAATTAGCAAATCAACAATTGCATTTTGCTGCTGTAAGATAAAGGCAACAAACTCCAGATGGATCTTTACCTCATCAGAAATATTCTTTAATTTGACAAATTTTCCTTCGTTATCAATTTCTTCTAAAATAATTTTCCCTATGGAGAACATATGTTCACGTGTTTCATAATTGCAGCTGGCAATCTCTGCTTCGGACAATTTGCGCTTCGTTCCTCGGAATGTTGGGACACTGCTTGAGGTGCGGACCACATTACGTGAAGCTGGAGTAGGAGTCAAATCGAGTCTGTAACATTAGACAATATTTCAGAGGTTAAAAAACATTTGTTGCATGGATGGTTCCCAATTTCACTCTCTATAGGTTTCATATCGCCATTGGAAATTTACTGACAAAAGCTCACTAAAAGTGAAGTCACATTACAGCGTGAACAACCTTCCTTGCAGCTTTTTTTTTTTTTTTTTTTAATTCTTTCATCGGACATCGGTGTCACTGGCAAGGCCAGTGTTAGCTGCTTATCCCTAATTGCTCTTCAAATGAATGGCTTGCCAGGCAGTTAAGAGTCAACCCTGTCGCTATAGATCTGAAGTCATATGTAAGACCAGGCGACATAAGGGCAGCAGAGTTAGAAAACCAGATGGGTCTTCATGAAAGTTGAGGGTAGTCTTAAGGCAGCATTATAGAGATGAGCTCTTTTATTCCAGACTTTATTAATAGAATTCCATCGTCTGCAGTGGAATGATATTTTCAATGCAAGGAATGATCAATCAATGGAATGATTTGGCAAAAGTAGCTGTTGAATGAAGTTCCATCATCTGCAGCGATGGGAACTGAACTCATGTCTTTCTAATACTATCTAAGCCTCTGGATTCCTAGTTCAGTGGCATTATTTAACACCAGAGGAACTATTACACTTTCTAGTTCCTATTTCAAATAATTTTGGTATAGACCATGGATATTTATTTATGTTAGCTCCTGTTGGAACTGTATCTCCAATCCTACTTTCCTCCAACGCTTTAATCATTGTCACATTTTCCTTACTTCTATTTAAATGTGAATTTACTCAACTTCGTGCAACAGCTACATTTTCCGAATCATTTTGTATTTTCATCATACTGCGCATTGGAAACTATCACACTGCTGCACTGATTAATTCAAAACTGATTGTCGATTTACTGATTGGTGCTATTACATACTTGTTGAATGTTTGCTATTCTTTAGCGGACAGCAGCATTTCTACACTGTAGGGATACAGCAGTCAATTAAATCAGCAGAAAGGTACTTTGTGCTTCCGTTATGTCACAAAGGTCGCCCCTAGCTTTGACATTCTGCCTCAGTTCTAACAGAAAGACTTGGGATTTCATGACAGTTCAGTTCTATTGATTTATATAAACAAAGGAAAAATAAATGGAACAGCAGCATGACCCGAGAGCCTGGGTTAGAGGCATTATGGTCAAAGTTGTCACTTTGATGATCCAATGTGATCCCATTTTCTTAGTCATTCTAAACTGTCATTCATTCAAATAATCCCACATATATCCAGAGGAACTACAGCTAAAATTTGAGATGTGGAGCATTATGGGATGGGTAGAAATTTCAGTCAATTAAATACAGGAAACAGATGCCACAGTTTGTGGCCACATTTCAAAATCTGTTCCCTTGCACTGATCTCACTGCACCCCCTGGTGAATGTCCAGGGTCAATCAACTTGTTCACAACCTTATCATTATATGCAACTCCAGTGAGGTTCCTACCATATTTACAGCATCCCAACCACTGCAAAACCATCCAACTTTGACCTTACCTCAGCTTCTCTGATATGGAAATCTTCAACATGCCTTTGTTACCTCTAGACTCAAGCATTCTCACCTACCTAGGTCTATCCTCTGCAAACCTGGGATCATTCAAACTCTGCTGCACAATTCCTAACTTGCACTAATTTCCAACCCCCATTTCTCCAGTGTTCATCTATCTATACTGACTCTCAGTTAAGAAAATGGCTTGATTTTAAAAGTCTTATCCACATTTTCAAATTTATCTACAGTCTCTGATCTCTTTCAGACTAATACAGCAACCATACGCTGCCAACCTAATCCCATCTCCTACCGACATGGTTATACTCTGCCAATTTTGGCCCCTTCATATTCCATAATGAATACCATAACTGCTATCAACCTGGTGAACCCTTTCTGGACTGCCTTCAAAGCCAGTATATTTTTCCTTAGGTGAGGGGCTCAAACTGTTCCCAGCATTCCAGCTGTTGTCTGACGAGTCCCTCGCACAATTTTAAGCAAAAGATCCCTACTTTTATTACCTCCCTGCTGAAATTAGTCAGAAGGCAAGGCCAGAGGATGACAAAGAGTCTCCAAAGGGGTATAGAAAGATTAAGCAAGTGGGCAAAAATTTGGCAGACTGAATATAATGTAGGGAAATATGAAGTTATGCAGTCTGGCAGGAAGAATAGAGGAGCTGATTATTATTTAAATGGAGAAACACTGCAGAAAGCTATTGAACAGAAGGATGTAGGAGTACACATCCAAGAATCACTAAAAGCTAGCATCCAAGTTCGGTCGGTAATAGGGAAAGCTAACAGAATGCTGGCCTTTACTTCAAAGGCAATGGAGTATACAAGTAGGATGATTTGTTATAAAGATACAAAGCAATAATCAGATCATAGATGGAATTCTGTGAACAGTTTTGGGTCACTTATCTCCGGAAAGATATACTTGCATTGGAGACAGTCCAAAGAAGGTTCATTTAGCTGATAGTAGGTATGGAGAGGCTGTCATAGGAGCAGAAATTGAATGGGTTGGATATGTACTCATTGAAATATAGCAGAATGAGAGGTGACCTTATTGGAACATACAAGATTCTTAGGGGAAAAGGCAGGAAAGTGGAGCTGGTGAAGTCTGCTTCACCATTCAATGAGATCACTGTTGATCTGATAACACCAACTCCACTTTCCTATCTTTTCCCCACAACTCTTGATTCCCTTACAGATTAGAAATCTGTCTATCACAACCTTGAATATACTGTCCCTCAACAGCCCTCTGTGGTAAAGAATTCCACAGATTCACAACCAGAGAGAAGAAATTCCTCCTCATCTCTGTCTGAAAATGAGAGACCCCCTTACTCTGCAATTATGACTTTTGGGTATAGACTCTCCCAAAAGGAGAAACACTTCCGCATTTACTCTGATGTCCACCAAGAATCTTGTATATTTCAATAAGGTCACTTCTCATTCTTCTATGAGTACATATCCAACCCATTCAATCTTTCCTCCCATGACAGTCCCTCCACACCTAGTATCAGCTCAATGAACCTTCTCTGGACTGTCACCAATGCCAGTACATCTTTCCTTAGATAAGTGGCCCAAAGCTGTTCACAGTATTCCACGTGATCTGACCTGTGCTTTGTATCTTTATAGCAAAACCACAGATTTGCATATAGATAAGAAAGCGATACAGATGAGGAGAAAATAGGCACATAATGTAACATAACACAGCAGTGTACTTTGTAAGAAATTACAGCAATGTAGGTTCACACAGTGCCTATAAAGACCATTGAAGGTCATGCAATGCTCAACAGAAACAAGGAAATAAGTAGAATCTCCAACAGAAGCATTGTTTCACATAGATTTCTAAGCAATGAAATATTGCTGATGGTGTTGATGTCAGTACATAAGTCAATTTTTAGATCATCAACAAGTCCCTCCGAAAAGGAAGGGGTGGAGTGTTGACATGTATGCTAAGGATAGGAGTACACTGCAGATGTGAGTGGTCATCATTTTGAAATGGCACTGGTTTCTGATGCAAAAAGTGTGTATGTCTTCTACTCCAATGCATTTTGGCAACACACCCCTACGTCACATACTTGATTTCTGGGCCCAGTTAGAAAGGTACCAGGGTTAAAAGATGAGGTGTGTCATGCCTAAAAAGGGGAGGGGCTGATTTAAATGCCAAGTAATGAAAAAACAATTTTTTGGGGCCATAAAAGAAAGAGCCAGTAAATAAAGCACCATATACAAGGAGCTCACCTTTGCTCCTCTCCCTCTAGCATCTTTCTATAAGCATTTATTTCCATGTCCAAAGCCAATTTCACACCCAATAGCTCTTCATACTCCTCCAACTGGACCACCATTTTCTCACGAATTTCAGCAACTTCTTGGTCCTTGTCTACCAGTCGTTGTTGGCTAACTGCCTTTTCATGGTCTACTGTTGTTTCCAAATCCTGAACTTTAGCTTTCAGAGTAGAAATCTGAGAAAAATCAAAGAATAAAAAAAAAGAGGGAAGGTAAAAGACAACTTTTTAAAAAAGAAAAAAAATAGTCTGCAAGAACAAAGCTCCTCTTAAACCTAAGTGTCCATTCTGTGGACAAGTCTGGAGTTCCTGAACACCCAAAAAAAACCTTGCCAGAAAATAATTTCTAAGAGTAATTGTCAAAAGAAATACAACCAATTAAGAAAAGTCTTTTTGCATACCAAGCCTGGAATACACTTTCAGAATGTAGAATCATAGAATCCCTAAAGTGTGGAAGCAGACCATTCAGCCCATCAAGTCCACACTAACCATCCAGTGAGTATTCCACCCAGACCGACCCCTCCCCCACCCAATCCCTGTGACCCTGCATTTCCCACAGCTAATCCACCTAACCTACACAATCCCCAAGTATTACGGGCAATTTAGCATGGCCAAAACCACCTAACCTTATTGGTGTTGGAGAAAGGTCCAATCAAAGCATTCAAAGGGGAAATAGGGCTACTATATGAAGAGGAAGAATGGTCAAGGTAATGGTGAAAAGCTGGAAAAATGGCACTGAGTTAGTTGCTCATTTGGAGAGCCAGTGTTGAAATGGGCTAAATGGTTTCCTTCTGTGTTGGACCAGTTCTCCAATTCTGTGAAGAACTCATAGAAGCAAAAGGTCAATCATTCAAATTAGGCCCTATCCAGCACTACTTTTTTTTAAAAAAGCATTAAAACTTGGTCACATAACAATCTTGAGTAAAAGCATTTAGTTTTGGGCAGTAACTATGCCTTTTGTGTGTAAGAATGAGGCTGTGAAAGAACCCTACGTATCTTCTGAAATCTTTGAAGAAGAAACTCTATCTCTAACACAAACAAACAAACAAACATTATATCAAATTATTACAGAAACAATTCAAAAATGAATCTGTTTTATCAACGCCTTTTGAATCCACAACTGAAAATTCATAGATCATTCAAAGAATCCCTACAGTGTGGAAACAGGCCCTTAGGCCCAACATGTCCACACCAACCCTCAGAGCATCCCACCCAGACCCATTCCCCCAAAGCCCACCTAATCTACACATCACTAAACTCTACGGTAATTTAGCGTGGCCAGTCCGCCTAACCTGCACGTCTTTGGACTGTGGGAGGAAACCGGAGCACCCGGAGGAAACCCTCGCAGACACACGGGGAGAATGTGCAAACTCCACACAGACAGTCACTCGAGGGTGGAATTGAACCTGGGACCCTGGCGCTGTCAGGCAGCAGTGCTAACCACCGGGCCACCGTGCCGCGCCAAATAGAATGCTATTTCATTTTCCCACTAGCAACAAATGAAAGGCAAATTAACAGAGAAAATTAACAGATGGATAAGTCCAATAGTAGTGGCGGGAAAACCATTTTAAAGAATTCTGAGGAACAGAATTAATCTCCACTTCGAGGATTATTCAAGGACAGTCAACCTGGCTTTGTCAGGATGAGGTCATGTCAAACAAAGCAGATTGAATATTTCATAATGTCTGTAACTATGTGCATAAATGAGGGTAGTGCAGTTGATATAATCTGCACGAACGTCAGTAAGGCTTTTGTGAAGGTCTTGCATTGCAGACTGGTTAGGAAACTAAGAGCCAATGGGATCCAGGGAAATTTAGCAAACAAGATCTCTTTGTGATCTTTATAAATGACTTGGATGAGGATGTAGAAGGGTGGGTTAGTAAGTTTGCGGATGACACAAAGGTTGGTGGAGCTGTGGACAGCGTGGAGGGCTGTTGTAGGTTGCAATGGGACATTGACAGGTGCAGAGCTGGGCAAAGAAGTGGCAGATGGAATTCAACCCAGAAAAGTGCGAAGTGATTCATTTTGGAAGGTCGAATTTGAATACAATACAGGGTTAAAGGCAGGATTCTCGGCAGTGTGGAGGGACAGAGGGATCTTGGGGTCCACATCCATAGATCCCTCAAAGTTGCTACCCAAGTTGATAGGGTTGTAAAGAAGGTGTATGGTGCGTTGGCTTTCATTGGCAGGGGAATTGAGTTTAAGAGCCGTGAGGTTATGCTGCAGCTCTATAAAACCCTGGTTAGACCACACTTGGAATAGTGTGTTCAGTTCTGGTCACCTCATTATAGGAAAGATGTGGAAGCTTTAGAGAGGGTGCAGAGGAGATTTACCAGGATGCTGCCTGGACTGGAGGGCATGTCTTATGAGGAAAGGTTGAGGGAGCTAGGGCTTTTTTCATTGGAGCGAAGAAGGATGAGAGGTGGCCTGATAGAGGTTTACAAGATGATGAGCGGCATAGACACAGTGGATACCCAGAGACTTTTTCCCCGGGCAGAAATGACTATTACGAGGGGGCATAATTTTAAGGTGATTGAAGAAGGTATAGGGGAGATGTCAGAGGTAGGTTCTTTACACAGAGTGGTGGGCGTGTGGAATGCGCTGCCAGCAGTGGTAGTGGAGTCAGATAATTTAGGGACATTTAAGCAACTCTTGGATAGGCACAGGGATGATAGTAAAATGTAGGGTATGCAGGGTAGTTTGATCTTTGTAGGATAATAGGTTGGCACAACATCATGGGCTGAAGGGCCTGTACTGTTCCATGTTCTATGTTCGAAGATCCAAAACTGGCTTAGTGGCAGGAAGCAGAGGGTAATGGTTGAAGGTGGTTTTTGTCAATGTATGTCTGTCCCTGCTGGTGGACTGCAGGGCTCACAGAATCATTACAGTGTGGAAGCAGGCCATTTGGTCCATCGTGTCCACGCCGACTCTCCGAAGAGCTTTCCCACCCAGAACCAAACCTCTACCTATCCCCGTAACCAATATTAACCATGGCCAATCCACCTAACCTGCACATGTTTGGACTGTCAGAGGAAACCAGAGCACCTGGCGGAAACCCACGCAGACAGCTGCCCAAGGATGGAATCGAACCCGGGTCCCTAGCACTGTGAGGCAGCAATGCTAACTACTGAGCCACCGTGCCGCTCACTGCTGGGTTCTTGCTGTTTGTACTATACATTAAAAGATTGAGACATGAACACGGGAGGTATAATCAGTAATCACAGATGTCAAAATTTGATGGTGTGGTAAATACCAAGGAGGAAAGCTGGCATAGATGAGCTGAACAATGGCACATGGAATTTAATCCTGAAAAGGTATGAGCTGATGCATTTAGGAGGTTAACCAGGCAAGGAAGTACATTTTGAATGGTCAGACCCTAGGAAATAAGGGGAACAGAGGGACCATGGTGTGCATGCCCACAGATCCTAGAAGGCACAGGACAGGTAGATAAGGTGGTTAAGGTGGCACATGGAATACTTTCCTTTATTAGTCAAGGCCTCAAATACAAGAGTGAGGAGGTCATGATAGATTGTACATAATGTTAACTAGGCCATAGTTGGAGTATAGCACATAGCTCTATTCACCTCACGATAGGAAAGAAGGGTGTGATTGCACGAGAGAGGGTGAAGAGGAGATTCACCGCGATGTGGTCTGGGCTAGAACAATTCTGCTATGAAGACAGGCTAGATAGGCTGGGTTATTCTGCTTGGAGCAGTGAAAGCTGAGGGGTGAGGTACTGATTGAAACGCATTAAGTTATGAGGGGCGTAAATAGGAAGAGATTTTCCCTTTAGTAGATAGCCAAAGGGCACAGTTTTAAAGGTGAGGTACCGGAGGTTTAGAGGAGATTTGAGGAAAAGGGTGGTGCCTATCTGGACCTCATTGCACAAGAAGTTGGTAGAGGCAGATATCTCAAGATTTTTAAGGATGAACACTTGAAACCCCACAGTTAACAAGACTGTGGGCCAAGTGCTGGAAAATGGAATTAGTACAGATCGATGCTTGATGACGGTCATCAACGAAAAGGGCCAAATGGTCTCCTTCCAGACCGTAACATTTCAAGGACTATCTATGACACTATGGCATGATCTAAACCAGTCTTAAAACCCAAACTTACAGGCACTCGAGAGAGGGCCTGAAAAGATCATTCTCCATTTTTTTAAAAACCGTAAGTTCTTTCATTATTCCTGTGCTGTGGAAGAAATACTTCAGCTATCTTCACAATGCTTGATGACAACCTCAATGTATGCCTTTTGGAGTCAGCCCCCTGCTCAGGGTCAGCCTGCCTCACCTGTTGTCTATCAGCTTTGCAAAGCACTAATAGATCAATAGACATTGACTAGTTCTAAGTCAAAAGCTCAAGTTCAGTTATAAATCACTTAACAGATTGGTGGCCAATTGACATAATGGATTAAAGCAAACGTTTCAATTTTTTTTTCCTGACAGCCTGCTTTGAACTTTCTTATGGACCACTGGACAGTTGTGACCCTCAGATGAAAACCCCTGGACTACATCATTTAACTTTGATGGTGCACTTCACTAAAATAACAGAAACATCATAACACCCTTCGTCAATAATTATTATATACATGGCGAATTACAGTATTAGTTTATAATAATTACAAGGGTTGAGAACTTAATGGTACAGATTTAAGGTAGTTACCACACTGACTCAAGTGCAGAGTAAAGAAACACAATTCAAGCAAACATTTATGAACCAGAAAGCAATATCTTGAAAGGTGGCAGAAGGAACTTCAATATTAATTGTTAGAAAGAAACTGAATATAGACCTTTCTTAAAAAAAAGAGAAATTTTGCAGGATTGTGGAGAAGACCAGGGACGTTAAACCAACAGGAGAGCAATACTGAAAAACAGACACACCACAATAGGTCAAATGGGTTCTTTCCATTCCATACGATTCTATAGCTACAACTTTCGAGCAAAAATTTCTCCATCCTGCAGAAGGATTAAAAGTCTGGTTACTTGACAGTTTTGACAAAAAAAAAAAATCTATGGAATAAAGTGAGGTTTTACCTGACTGCAATATTGATGAAGCTGAGATGTTAGATCATCCGTCCTCATTTTTGCTGCTGCCAATTCTTCCTTTGCGGCATTAGCAAATTCTCTGCTTTTTGCAGCAGCCAGCTGGGCACTCTCGAGCTGTAACACATGAGATGCAGAAGGAGGAGGGTATCATGGTACTGAAAAAACCAGGCATTTATTACAACTAACTGTTATGTACAAGCATTACATTCTTTGAGCACCTAAGAGTCAGTTAAGAGTCAACCACAGTCAACTATTGTAGGTCTGGAATCACTTGTAACCCAGAAAACTCAATGATGGCCTATTTCATTTCCCAAGTGACTATGAACCAGATGTGCATTTATGACAATTGACAATGAATAGATATTACTGGAATTATTTTCCTCAGAAATATAGGGAAATCCTCTATTTTTACTGTAGCAATACAAGGAAACCACAAAGTATGATCATACATGGCAGCAGCATTGTAATTACTACAAATTTCAAAGCCATTTACGCAAGGAAAATAGATAATCACAAGAAAGGCATGGCATGGAAATAATATTGTCAGGAAAAGTTCAAGTTCAGAATTGGTCAAATAGAATGGACTTTGGAGAAACTAATTCTTTAGATACAGTATTGCTTCCAAAGTAGATACCAAATCTCAAGCTATACAAATAAATAATATTTTGCGTACAGCTGGATGCATAGCTGATGATGTTCCAGCTTACTAAAATGCAAAAGAAGCAAACTGACACATTTGATGAAGAACTGAGAGCCTTTGATGATTACTTTAACCTTGGAACAAATAAAAAGCTTGAATCTAATAGAAGAGTTCAGCATCTAGTAGAGTTCGTAGATGATTAATCATAGAATCCCTACAGTGTGGAAACAGGTCCTTCAACCCAACAAGTCCACACTGACCCTCAGAGCATCCCACCCAGACCCATCCCCCTGTAATCTACACATCCCTGAACACTACATGGGCAATTTAACTCGGCCAATCCACCTAGCCTGCACATCTTTGGACTATGGGAGGAAACCGGAGCACCTGGAGGAAAACCACGTAGACACAGGGAGAACGTGCAAACTCCACACAGACAGTTGCTCGAGGCTGGAATCGAACCCAGGTCCCTGGCACTGTGAGGCAGCAGTGCTAAACACTGAGCCACCATGTCATCACATCGTAAAAAGGTAATTACTGAGATCTAAAGTCAGGTGATGTATCCTTGTCAGGTTTATTAGTCAAAAGAAATTTTTTCTAGTACCATACAGAAAGTGAACAAGAAGATTAAATGTATCACAGGTGATCAGCAGCACATGCTAAAACCACTAAAGATACATGCGAGAAGCTGCTATAATTGGTATGACAAATGACAGACACTAAAAGGTCAATATTACGACTGTAGAGAAAGGAAACCTCAAGCTCCAGCTGTGCCCAGCTACTAAAAAAGAATATTTCATCCTTAAAACAGGTCACTCACAGAATAATAGTTCTGCAGAAGGGTTACTGGACTCAAAAAGTTAACTGTGCCTTTATGTCCAAAGATGCTGCTAGACCTGCTGAGTTTCTCCAGCACTTTGATTTTGTTTCAGTCACTGAGAGAAACTGTGACAAAGTAGGACAGAGACAAGCAGAAGTCAAATAAACTACTTTTCATGTGAGTAGTTTATGCGCTGGAACAGGCTATAAATAGGAGATAAGCCAAAGGTATTCAGAAGGGAAAATAAGCAGTGAAATCTTTGTGGCAAGATGACATTTATGGTAATGAGCTTTTCACTAAGTTTAGGTTTGATACAGGGGTGTGCATTTTAATCAGATAGCGTACTGTGGTTGAAAACACACCGTGGCCTACAGCCAATATTCCATCGAAGCTGAGTGCTGCGCGGACATTTCATGCACGTTTCCGAAAGTTGTTGCTCCATATGGACTACAGAGGTCGGTGCAGAAGAAAACAAAACTACACAAACATTGCCCTCAGCTATATATTCCAGGAAATATAGCACTTGGATTAAAGGGAAGCCACATGCAATCTGCAACACAAGGGGTGTCAGATAGTGGAGAACCTATATGTACTTCACATTGGAGAATTCACACTCCTTAGCATGAATGAGTGTTTTAACCGGAATTAAATCTTAAATTTGGCTCCTTCTGCCATTTGAAGTCAACAAGCAGACAGACCGTCATGGACCAATAGTCAAAGAACATTCAGTTAGTGAATGCCAGTCATGGAACAAACAGTAAAAGATTTGATTAGTCTCCCTAGACTTGTGATGGAAGTCAAGCAGAAGACAGAATTCACCAAGATTAGCAGCATTGACAGAAGAAATTTATTTATATCGTCAGCAGGATGGAAACATGTGACTAAACTGGATTGGCAGAAATGTTTGTCACTGCCATCAACACCAAAAAGAGAGTGTTCAGACTGCTGTTATATTCAGCAGGTTTTGTAGATAAACAGAAACAGGCAGCCAATGAGCTGCATACCTGAATGAGTTAACTGACACAACCAAAACAATTATGTACCTCAAAGTGCAACGCTGCTTAGTGATCAGTGCTGTCAAATGGTGACAAGTTCAAGCAGAATATTTGATCTCTAACTTCCAGGAAGAACCAGTGACAGAGATTATGCCAAGAAACAAAACAAAAATCTGCAAATAACAAGCCAAAGAGGCAAAAATGTTAATCTCACCAGTAATGCAAACAGGGAGAGCAAATTCAACATTATCAACACATTGAAGTAAAGAATCTACACACGTCACAGATTTACTGAGAATAAAAATCTGCTCGCACATTGAAGACTTGGTGCGTCATACATCTATTAGGCGAGTCAACCTAGTTCCATAGTCAGGAAGAAAATTGCATCGTTTAGAGATCCAGGATACAGTCAAAAAGTCAAAATGGTCTGGTCCAGAGATTCAAGATAATGCAAACAAAAATTGCTAGCTCCATGAAAGAAACTCATGAGGTAAAGCTTCTCCAGTTTAAAAGGAACTGCCAGACCGCTCACCATCAAGAACAGAATCAAAACCAACAGAAGTTAACTTAAAGATCTACCAGAATTCCAGGTCTGATAAGAACCCATCTTGGGAGGATCATGAAACCACATTCCACCAAAATTTTGAAGCAAGAGAATCAGAGTCTCAGATGTACAGCACGGAAACACACCCTTTGGTCCAACATGTTCCATGCCGAACAGATATCCTAAATTAATCTAGTTCCATTTGCCAGCATTTGGCCCATTCCTGCTCATGTACCTATCCGGATGCTTTTTAAATGTTGTAATTGTACCAGCCTCCACCACCTTCCTCTGGCAGCTCATTCCATACACACACCACCCTCTCCGTGGAAAAAGATGCCTGTTAGGTCTCTTCTATATCTTTCCCCTCTCACCTTAACCCTACGCCCTCTCGTTTTAGACTCCCCTACTCAGGTGAGAGACTTGGGACTGACTGTGAACTTATAAAAATTAAAACATATGCAAATGTATAAACATTAAGCTTAGGAGGAAATGTATTAGAGTGCAAGGGTCTTAATGGATTAATACTGAGGAGTACCTGAAGCACAATGTCAGATGGACTTGACAGAAGATCAGCTTTAGAACTCGAAGGAGTTCTTTTTTCATTCATTCATTAAAGGGATGAGGGTATTGCTGGCTAGGTAGCATTTACTGTCCATCCCTAATTGCCTTCAGAGTCAACCACATTCCTGTGGGTCTGGAGTCACATGTAGGCCAGACCAGGTAAGGGTGGCAGTTTCCTTCCCTAAAGGACATTAGTGAACCAGATGGGTTTTTTGCCCGACAGTCAACAATGGATTCACGGTCATCATTAGATTCTTAATTCCAGATGTTTTTGTCAAATTCAAATTTCACCATCTGCCTTGGCAGGATTCAAACCTAGGTTCCTGGAATATTATCAGAGTCTCTGGATTAACAGTCCAGTGACAATATTAGTAGGCCATCGCCTCCCCTCATAATACCTACTAACTGGGTCTTCCTCAGACATCCTTATAGAGACTATTACTGGTACCTAACAACTATCATGCAATAAACAACAGCCTCTCCTCATTAGGCTACCATTTGGTTTTCCTCTACCACACTAGACCAGGTCCTGAAGATCCCTAGTTGGAAAGAGGATGGTGATCAGATAGCTCAAACAACATGAATCCTCACCATGCCAGAGCATATGACAACAACCATAAACATAATTAATCTGCTTCCAAATGAAACAGCAATGTTAAAGAATTCCAAAGATTTACTAGCCTCAGAGAAAGATATCCTCATCTCTATCCAAACTGAATAACCCCTGACTGAGATTAAGCCTGGATGCTTCCACAAGGTAAAACACTTTCCCAACTCTACCCTGGCAGATCCCCTGAGAAACTTACGTCTCAATAAAATCACCTCTCATTTTTCTAAACTCCACCGAGTACAAGCCCAACCTACTCAATCTCTCCACATAAGAAAATCCCTCCATATCTGGGATCAAACTAGTGAATCTTCTCTGGACTGCCTCCAGTGCCAGCTCCTTAGATAAGAGGGCCAAAACTTCTCTAAGCATTCTGACTAATGCCTTGTTAGAGACAGAGTTATACAGCATGTAAACAGGCCATTCAACCAAACTCGTCCATCTCGACCAGGTTTCCCAAACTGAACTAGTCCAATTTTCCTATGTTTGGCCCATATTCCTCTAAACCTAGTTTTAGCAAGATTCCCCCTATTCCTATACTCCATTCCCTTTGAAATATAAAGGTCAAGATTCCAGTTGCCTTCCCAATTACCTGTTGAATTTATATACTATCTTATCATCCATGCATGACGATCCTCAAATCCTATTGTGCTGTAGCTTTGTGTTTGTTCCCTATTCAGCTACTCTATTTTTCTTGCCAAAGTTCATAACTTCACATTTTCCCACATCATATTCCATCTGCCAGGTTTTAGTCCACTTACTTAACCTGTCTATATTCTTCTGCAGACTTATGTCATCCTCACTTACATTTTATTTATATATAATTTGTAATACACATACAAATATTTGTAAATAGTTATGCTCCCAGCACTGGTCCAAGAGGTATTCCACTAGTTACAGGCTGCCATCCTGAAAATGCCTCCTTTTATCACAACTGTCCTCTATTAGGTAGAATAGGCAGTTTTCTAATCCTCTGGGACTTCTTCTGAATCTAAGGGCTCTTGAAAGATTACTACCAGTGAATGCACTATCTCTGTAGCTATTTCCCTTAATATCCTAGGGATGCATCACATTAAGTCCAGGACTTTTAAAGAAGTGATAACCTATTAGTTTCCCTAACACTCTTTCTCTAGCAATATAGTGTTTATTTCCTCTCACCCTCTGCCCCTTTAGACCTCAATTATTAGTATTTCTGGAATTTTATTAATGCCCTTTACTATGAAGTCTGATGCAAAGTACTTATTCATCCCCACTGCCATTTCCTGGTGCCGCATTTTTTTATTTCTCCAATCAAGTTCACGAGAGGGTCCATGTTCATTTTGGCCGCTGTGTTCCTTCTTAAACATTTAAACAACATCTTACTCCATTTTCATACTACTTGCTAGTTTACTCTTTTTATTTTCTCCCTGTGTTTATTTTTTGTTCAACTTTGTTGTCTCTCAAGACTTTCCCCATCCTCTGGTTTACAGCTTGTTTTTTGGCACATAGTCTCAAAAATAAAAGAAAACATACAATCCTCAACATGCTCAATTAACCATTGTCGGACAATATAAAAGGGGAATTGATACGAGAAAGGGAAACCATTAGCAATGGTTGTGGAGTCCAGGATTAAGGGACATAACCTAGAAATCAGAGCCTTGACTGATGTTAGTAAATACCTCTGTGAAACTTGAGGAATTTAAAATAAAAACTGCTGGAATATAATATTTCTAATAAATAGGCTTTGTGGATATTCTAAATCACTGCAAGCAAAGAAAATAATTGATACTATGTACAAGATTAATTAATTTCTAGATAAATGTTTAAGGAAAATACATATTTGGAAGAGTGCAATAACATTCACTGCAGGGCATTTCCTCATGGTGTTTCCCTGATTAGGCAGCAGAATGTGTCTTGGATCTGGATCAGACATTAGATAATCACTCTGACTTGCCATGGTGCTCACTGCGGCATGTTCAAACTTTCGATCACATTTTGGTTTAATTCACCACTGGCAATCAGTAAACACTACAGTCTAACATACATCACTTGGCAGCACAGCCGTGAATTCCATGGCACTGATTTAAAAGGAAGCTTGTAAAAGACGCCTGAGGAGGGGGTGAAGAGAGAGAGACTTGTGAAACTATCACATACAATGTAAAAAGTCAGGATAACGCAGAACCATGAGTCTTGATCACATAACACTCAACGAGACATATACAAAGCCTATAAAGATCGTAAACATAGCAGACGGCTACTTGATCAATGTTAGTCATTTCATCACATGGGTGAACCTTGTATCTGTTGCTATTTGGCAATGGAGAAGAGATTGATTAAAACCAAATAGGCAGTCATTTAAAAGCAATCACCATTAATTTCCCTCAGCAGTGTAGGGACAAATAATCAACATCATGACATTACACATTTTGATATTCTCCCAGACTCTACATTGCTTATTACTCCTGTTAAGAGCATCATTTCCCTCAGTTTATTTCACAACACGAACTGGTGGCTCTCCTCTCTCTCAAAACATCTTTTAGCTGAATGATGTTTTTACAAATATATCACCAAGAAGGGACCCACTGCATCTAAATTACAAAATTCATTATATGAAAGAGATAAATGTAAAGTGTGTGTTCTAATGCTGTTTTTAGGACAACAGGTACTTATTTGCAGATCTAAGAGACATGGATGAGCCTGTATAGTCTGCCTATCCTTAGCTGGAGCTGGGAAAGATTTTTGGGGGTTTGGTCACAGAGGGGGCACAAGGAGTAGTTGGCGACTAAAAGGGTGAGCTCATTTACTCTTGACCGTCACATCCATTCAGCTGGGTGCCCACCCACAAGGTTGCCCTTGCTGTTTACTAACTGATAGTCCCCAAGATCTATTTAACCATCCGAGAACCCCTAATCTAGATGCACAATAGCATAATCTGGGATGATAAACCAGGGGACTGCTGGCCACATTTTACCCTCATCAGGTTTGCAGTTCTGATATTAAGTTGGAACCAGTTACCAGATTATAAATGATTGTAAAAAGATTCTTAATTTACAATTAATTAGTGTATGTAATGGTTTTAGCAAGTCTTGTCTCATTTCAATGATCTCCTGTTCCTCTTGCCACTCAAGTAGATTCTGCAACGTGATATAATTTTTATTTTGCTCAGCTCCATTGCAGAATCAGTCTGAAACATGACCTCTCTTCTCAAACTGGCCAGTCAAAGTGCATCTCCCTCTCAGCTGACCCCCAAAACAAACATCTTATTTTTTAACGTCCTCTCACCACACGGTGCCAAGACTCCTGAGACGTCATAATAGGAGCTGGAAGTGGTCATTTGGTGCCTCAAGCCAGTCTCCTGTTGATGTCATGGCTGATCAAATGTTGGTTAAATCACTTTCTTTCTGCTCCCCATAACCCTCTACAAATTGGTCGATCAGGCTAAATCAATAATCCAGCTACCACTGGAGTTTTCATTCTCAGACAGCAAAGGCTCATGACTCTCCCCATCACTATCGTAAATGGGAGAGCCCTTAATTTAAACAGTGCTGCCTACTTCTCATCCTCCCAGCATCCATTCTATCAAGCTCCCTCAGGCCCACAGCACCATGGATAAAATCAGCAACTCAGTCATCACCAATATATTCTCAAATGCAATTATGGATATTTAAGAAATGCTGGCATATTCCAAGAATGAAAATTGTATCAACTTTTGCTTCATCATACAATGTTCTCATTTTCTTCATATTTCTTTAAGTAATAACATCAGAGGAATAGAATATGATTAATATTTTAACATAATATTCCACAGAAATTTTCGGACAGTAAATGTTACCTTAGCATGAAAGTTTTCTTCTAGTTGTTCCTTGTATTGTTTGATCTGTTGATATTGATCAGCCCTTAGCTGCTGAAGTACCTCAGCTAGTTTGCTCTCATACTCCTGTTGACTACCAGTCTCAATTTCTCGGAGTCTGGTTTCATGCTGCCTCTTAGTTTCCGTGATTTCCTAAGTGAATAAGCATTAACTCAGTAAAAAACAAAAAAAAAAGACAAACGGTTCACTCAATTCATCATAAATATTTCCAAATACGCAGGACATTAAATAAAGAACTGTGCAAGAAACTGCCCAGCCAAATGGGAAATCTTCTGTTCTCCATCAAGTTTGGATCAGTCTTAATTTCCAGAATTTTCTACACCAAATGGAGCATGTTGGCACTGGATAGTGGATCACCAATGCCAGGAACCATGGGATAGGAGATGCCAACTGCGTTGTCCATTGTACTGAATTGTCACGTTGAAAAAGAAAGGAAAATTAGTTGCAGACTGGCTGAATCATTGTAGTCACATATCGATCATTTTGGTGGCAGAAGGTCCGATATGTTGTTGGAGGCGGGGGGTGGGGGGGGGGGGGAAAACACAGAAGGTTTATTAAAAAAAAAACGTTTGTATTGCAAAAGCATCTTATTGTCAGAGAAGTGAACAAAATAAAACTTGTTTAAAAAGTCTCGACAATGGCTCCCTTAAAATTCAAATTTCACTCTTCCAAAATTTAGGACTGAGAGGAGATGAAATTTCTTCACCCAGAGAGTGGTTAAGCCAGTGGGATCCTTTACCACAGAAAGCAGTCGGGACCAAAGCATTGACTGTTTTGAAGAATGAGTTAGATGTTGTTCCTATAGCTAAGAAGATCAAAGGGTATGGGGAGAATTAGGAACAGTGCCATCTTAGGTACA